AAAAAATCACATAAATATAAATTAAATTCTTTTTCTTCTTTATTTTGAGAGCGCGCGATCTATGTATTTATTTACAATATATATATATATATATATATATATATATATATATATATGTATATAGTATATATGTATCCTACGTGTTCACTTTCCCGATTAATCTTGTGGTGTCGTAAGCGAATATCAGCATCTTGGATTTCTTATAATTGGTATTTTTTTTTTTTTTTTTTTTTTTTTTTTTTTTTTTTTTTTTTTTTTTATTTTTTTTTTTTTTTGTTTTTTTTTTATTTTTTTTTTTTTTTTTTTTTTTTTTTTTGTATTCTATGTAATTATTATTTCATACCATTTGTATTTTGTTTTCTTCAAGAAGAGCTAAATTTTATTTTATCAATCATTTGTTGAATTCAAAATAAACATATTTTAACACGTCTATTGTTACATTTATCAACATTGCCAACGTCTGCCAAAAGACAGGTGGACAACAATAAGATGGGTTCAACTTTCCGTTGTCCGTCCTCCGCATGCCGAGATGACCAAGGTTGTATTCGATAGTTAGTACACATGTGACTTGCCAGTCCTATTTGTGACTGTAAAGCCTCCCCACTCCCCCGCCACACATACACACATAAACACACACACACACGTATGGATACACGTCTTTTGGGGCTCTAGGTGATTTGGAGTCGATTCCGCTTTTCATTGATGTGCGCTTTCCTTTGGACATGACCAGTGGGTTAACTCTCTGAAGATTGAGGCTAAAAAGAAGTGAGTCTACCTCGCCAGGTCGTACGACCCGTAGCAAGTGTTTTCCCATGAATTCAGGTCGATGCCCATGGAGCTGAGTGTAGCTTTTAGACATTTTTGTCGTTTGTTTCTGCCCACCAGCTGAGGGTCGCTCCCGCCTGGAGAGCTCACCGAACATTACTTGCACAGGAAGTCTTCTGGCTGGCATGTTTGCAACATGTACTTCCCACCCGGCTTGACATTGTCGTTCAAGGCTCTATCCCCAAAAATTGCAACTACAAGTTTGGTTTTGTTTTTAACTGAACCTATGCATAACGTTACCTATAATATATATATATATATATATATATATATATATATATATATATATATATATTTATATAGCATTACCTATGTATATCGTAATATAAATATAATAACGTTATCTATAATATATATATATATATATATATATATATATATATATATATATATATATATTTATATAGCATTACCTATGTATACCGTGAAATAAATATCCTGTTACCTATATAAATGCCGTTATTTATATATATGCTTCACCTATTTATGGTGTTACCTATTTATACCTATATATATATATATATATGTATATATTGAAGTTTGTTCCCTTATCTTGTATTGATGACTGCTCTTACCACTCAGCCTAATCCTGCAATATATCATCCCCCCCCCAACTTATACACTAACAGCATCATTCTTTGTATAAGTATGTTGGTTAATTTTTGACTGCCACGAACACCACGTGTTCCAAGCATGTTCCCCCTTTTTAAAGTTCTTAGATTTTGGCCTGCATCAACCAATTGAAATGTTATTTTTATTTTTTCAGCGTTGAATTCAGAGTTAGGGAAACGTTTCTATTTTATTTTTTTCCAGTTTCGACTTCATCTTGGGACATTTACCCGAATCCCGTCATTTTTTTGGAATCATGGGACCAGATAATTAATGTAACTGACCATCAGCTAAAGGATCCCGGTAATTTAAAACAGAGCGGACCCTTGTTATCATTGTTGACAGCACGCACCAATGATCATCATTCAGAAACAAGAAATGAAAATCTAAAAGTCAGTTTTCACATTAGAAAGACAAACCCAGGTCATTTTATTTTCGTGTCCCTTAAAACTTATTTAAGAATTGTTATTTATTTTTTATTTTTTTAAAATAATTTTCACGTGACACACAAAACAAGAAACGGAAAACAACACCATCTCTAACACCGTTGATTAAAACACCATTACAGCTCGGGTGTCCGTCTTTCTTTAGCTGTGTTTAAAAAAAGACACAAAAAGGCGCCACGCAGGTGATCTGAGCCCCTCAAACGTGAAATATTTCAATGAGGATTACATTTGACGGCTAATTTAAACGCGTGACATCTGAATATAAATGAGGTCAAGGCATCACCTCAGCGGAGACAGACCGCTGCTGTCAAGACTAAGAACAGCTACTATGGCTTAGCATTAAACACATTTTGACCAGCAAAAAGATAATGAGATGGTCTTGTTGTTGGTTGTTTTTTTTTTTTAATATTTCAGAAAGATCTTTTTATTTTCGACACACCAAACATTGTTCCTTTGATAAAATCCAAAGAAAACGAAAACGGACTGAAAACTTAAATCTCCTGCCCTAGTTCAGTAATTATAATGTTGTGTTTTAAGTTAATCATCGTTTCTATAATTTTCCAAATTGATCTTGGTTTATTATTGAAGTTCTAATCTAATCTGAGCTGGGAGAATAATGTAACATAAAACCTTTAATTGTAAACTATTTGATGCGCTTGTTGCATGATTTAGTATGAAAGTTTAATTGTAAACCATTTGATGCGCTGGTAGCCAAATTTAGTATGAAAGCTTAATTGTAAACCATTTGATGCGCTGGTAGCCAAATTTAGTATGAAAGCTTAATGATAAACCATTTGATGCGCTGGTAGCATAATTTAGTATGAAAGCTTAATTGTAAACCATTTGATGCGCTGGTAGCATAATTTAGTATGAAAGCTTAATTGTAAACCATTTGATGATATGACAAGATTGATTATAATTTTAGAGACTGTCATTAGTCGTCAATAATTTGATTACTGTGTTATTATTGAAACATTTGCGTATTGCCTTTTTCTTGTTGCATTGTTCTAGATGGTCTTCAGCCTTTTCAGTACAGATGATATATTTTATTATTGAGGAGTAGGTTAACTTGAAACCTTTGAATACATCTTTTCAGAAGAATTGAATTACAGGAGTTGTTTTTCATTGCATACGCGACGTTGAATTCATATGTTGCAAAAAATTTTGTGAAGCTACTTAAAGAGTTTGATATGTTTAGTAGATACAAGTAGCGATCATGATTAGAAGAAGCCGTTAATGGATATCAGGCGATAGATTAAGGTGGTAACCTCTAGCCGATGATTCTTACTATGCAGCCCTGAGAAGCTGTTCCAAGGCAACGGCTTCGTCCCAGATACTTCGCAAATTAGTTGCGTGATGGAAACCCACTGTAGAATCCCTCTCATAGGGCGTCCAACGCTTCCCCCGGGATGGGTGGGGGAAGATATTAGGACGTACATTTAACATCCCGACTCCTGAGAAAGTCGATCGTGTGCACTGTGTGCTAGCACAGTTTCGGAGCGACCGGGTGTGTTTGGGTTGGGGCGGCCTCCAGCAGAACCCGATTGAGCGAACTGGGGTGGGGTACTGTCCTGGCAAAGAGACATCTGCAACTTGCCATTGAATTTCAAGAAGTTATTAGCAAAGTATTTTTCATTTTTAGATGATGTCTCAGAAATTGGTGGTGATTTAAAAAAAAAAAAATGTTAGTTGTCTTTTTTTTAAAATAATGTGTTCAACCTAATTTATCGATTCCTTGCTATTTTTATTTTTAAAGACATGTTTAAACGTGTACAAAGTGTATATACAAAGTGTGTCCTAAGAGTGTATGCAAATTGTGTCATAAGAGTCAATACAAAGTGTGTCATAAGAGTGTATGCAAAGTTTGTCCTAAGATTGTATTCAAAGGGCGTCTTAAGAGTGTATACAAAGTGTGTCCTAAGAGTGTATGCAAAGGGTGTCGTAAAAGTCTATACAAGGCGTATCCTAATAGTGTAAGCAAAGTGTGTCCTAAGAGTCTATACAAAGTGTATCTTAAAAGTGTTCCTAAGAGTATATGCAAAGTGTGTCCTAAGAGTGTAAACAAAGTGTATCTTAAAAGTGTTCCTAAGAGTATATGCAAAGTGTGTCCTAAGAGTGTAAACAAAGTGTGTCCTAAGATTGTATAAAATGATACATTAGTTTGTTGGATTATAAGAAAACAATATAAATAGAATTTAGATGTCTGAAATGATGATTTACTTGTAGGCAGAATGAAGGAGGGATGGAATTGTTTCTAATGTATTATTTCCAACCAAGTGTTTTACACCTCACATTGAGCCCCCCCCCCCTTATTTGGGGGTGAAGGTTAGGGGTGGGGGTGAAGTTTTGGGTGGGGAGCATGTTGGGTGTGGGCGTTAAGGTGTCGTGTGGGGATGAAGGTTGGGTGTGGGGGGGGGGAGAAGGTTTAGAGTAGGGTGAAGGTTGGGGGAGGAATGAAGAATTGGGGGTGAGAGAGAAGATTTGGGGGTAGGAGTGAAGATTTGGGGGTAGGAGGGGGTGGGGGTTGGGGGTGGGGGGGAAGTTGTGGGGGGGGAGCAGGTTGGGTGTGGGGGTTAAGGTGTCGTGGGGGGATGAAGGTTGGGGGTGGGGGGGGGGAGAAGGTTTAGAGTAGGGTGAAGGTTGGGGTAGGAATGAAGAATTGGGTGTGAGAGAGAAGATTTGGGGGTAGGAGTGAAGATTTGGGGGTAGGAGTAAAGATTTGCGGGTAGGAGGGAAGATTTGGGGTAGGAGTAAAGATTTGGGGGTAGGAGTGAAAATTTGGGGGTAGGAGTGAAGATTTGGTTGTAAGGATTGTTTGCAGCACAAAAAACATTTATATTTTATAAATAAAATCAGTTCTCAAAGTCTTGCCACAGAAGAGGCTATCGTATCGATTGTGAACACTTTTATTTCAATGGCCAAAAGAATTTTCAACAACAATAAAAATGTGGCAATGATATACAAGCTAAGTGATAACTAAACATAACTATGAGTAAGAAATAAGTGATAACTAAACATAACAATGAGTAAGAAATAAATGATAACTAAACATAACGATGAGAAAGACATAGCCTGACAAATTCCTGCGAATAGAATGTATATATCATTTTTATCAATCAATCGGACAGACAGGTGTAAGATTACGGTAGCTGACGGCAGTGTCCTCTTCAGCATCTTTAATAAATGAAACATCACTTTTCGTGATCCTTATAGAAAGAACTTTTTAAATATATGTTGTAAACCTCTTAGTGCTGGACAAAACAGGTGTCTTGGGAACGGAATCTCTTAATGTTGGACAATACAGATGTCTTCAGAACCAAACCTCTTGGAGATGGACAAACTGATGTTTTGGGAACCAAAACACTTAGTTATGGACAAACCAATGTTTTGGGAACCAAACCACTTAGTTATATACAAACAGATGTCTTGGGAACCAAACCTCTTAGTTATGGACAAACTGATGTCTTGGGAACCAAACCTCTTAGTTATGGACAAACTGATGTCTTGGGAACCAAACCTCATAGTGATGGACAAACTGATGTCTTGGGAACCAAACCTCATAGTGATGGACAAACTGATGTCTTGGGAACCAAACCTCATAGTGATGGACAAACTGATGTCTTGGGAACCAAACCTCATAGTGATCGACAAACTGATGCCTTTGGAATCAGTTACTATGAGTATCAATACGTAGTTTTTTAACGTAAGTATGTTTGTTGATTATTGATTCGAATGATTTGTTATTTTAGATTCTTAGTTTATTGATAAGTAATTTAAAATTCCAAACACATTCACACGAACAAAAGAAAAAAAAATTATTTAAATTATGAAAAGATCAATAACACAATTTTTTTTCTTTCTTTTGTCTCTAATGAGCTGGGGAGTTTTCATTGGACAAATGCTATGACTTTATTTTAGTAGATATTTTTTGGACTTTTTTTTTTTAGCTGTATTCGAAATTTTTGTTGTAGATATCCTGAGAGTTTTCATTTTAGATATCTTGGGAATTTTCATGTTGATATCTTGGGAACTTTTTAAGTAAAGATATGATTTTTATATTTTGCGTCGGTGATAAATATTTACTTTTTGAGTCTTTGCAGTAGCCATTGTCCATCAAATAAAACGATCCAGTTTTATTATAGAACAGAACACTTTGGACAGTATTTCTAAACTTTATTTATTTATTTATTTCTTTGTACAATTGCTCTACGTTTCATTCAAATTAAACACAGTTGACGTAACAAGTCATTGAAACAAAAGTGTACGTTAGAGGCGTTTGAACATTTGACACTGCAGCTCTGCGATGTTTCTCTCAATGGTTGAACCCCTCTGAATGGTTGAACCCATCTGAATGGTTGAACCCCTCTGAATGGTTGAACCCCTCTGAATGGCTGACCCCTCTGAATGGTTGAACCCATCTGAATGGTTGAACCCCTCTGAATGGTTGAACCCCTCTGAATGGCTGAACCCCTCTGAATGGTTGAACCCATCTGAATGGTTGAACCCCTCTGAATGGTTGAACGCCTCTGAATGGTTGAACCCCTCTGAATGGTTGAACCCCTCTGAATGACTAACAAAAACACAAAGTCCAAAAATGAGAGAGTAAGGATAAAACGAAGCGAATAAATTGTTGTTGTTGTTGTTGTTGTAGATTTGAAATTTTGGCAACACGATTCACGTTGGGCTTTTTTAAATATATTTTTTGTTTTAGACCAATCACACAGACGAGCAGGTCCCCGACGTTGCTCGAGTCATGACGTCACATGGAGGCTTGCCTCACGTTGACTTTGAGGCTACCTGAGAGGAAACAAATAAAAAAATCTTCAGTTAGGCCACTTAGATAACATCTTCATCACAATGAAATGGGCAACGAAATATGTTACCTTGTTATGATACTCATTTACATTACGGCATTCAGGCCTGGTTATTGCCTATGAACTTTTGAGGATATTTTCTATCCCAGGCAACCAAAAGAGAGAAAATGAATTAACGCATCATGTTAAAGCATTAGGCTAACGGGTGTGTTCCATGGAAAGGGTGGCACGAACGATGACAACGGAATTTCCCCGTTGTACTGGAGTTTTTTGTATTCTTCGTGAGCGACTAACTAAACGAAAATGATGACTAACTAAGTGATTGTCGTCCATAAAGGAGTTTATTGACGGCTGATTTCTACGATAGAGGAAAAAAAAACAACAACTTTAGATGTCGTGTGTGTAAATTGCTATAACTGCAAAATGTATTTTTAAATATGTTTTTTTTTTATGCGCTGAAAATTAATATGTATAAAGTAATAAAAAAACATATTCCATTGATTTGAATCAATAAATAATCTTATCTTATCATACATTATCTTATAAATTCAGTTAACATTTTCCAAACACGCCCTTGTAAGCAAGAGTGGCTCAATAGTGTTTCAAATTACTTCGTATATTATATTTATAAAGTTTGTCTTAATTTTTGCACATGTATGTCCTAAATGTTAAATCTGGTAAAATATTTTTAAATAATAAACATTATATTCTAACAACAACAGTTGGTGCGAACTCGGTCGTTTGAGAGGCGAATGATTTCAAGCCGGGCCAAACAGAACTTTTGCGTGTGTGTGTGTGTACAATGTAAGCTTCAAGAAAAAACGTTACAAAAAAAGCAATTATTTAATTTAAGAGTTTAAAAAAATCCGAAGATGAGAGCCCAATTAACTTTGAAAATCACAATGCCTCCATCCGCATCAAAAAAAAAAAAAAAAAAAAAAAAACCAAAAAAAAAAAAAAAAAAAAAAAAAAAAAAAAAAAAAAAAAAAAAAAAACCCAAACAGATTCGATAAAAAAAAAAATGAAATAAAAATCAAGATAATTAGCAGATTGTAAATTAGAGTTGCCGCCCATTCTTCTCCAAATTTTCTCAGCCTTTAAAAAAAAAAAAAAAATGGCCAGGGAAGAGCGGTGACGTTTATTGAATTGTGATTTTGTTTTATTGTCCCATCTGGCAATTAAGGGGGAATTCAAATAAATTGAAACGAGTTATCACTCTCGTCCGATTCGTTGTTTAAGTTCAGTCAGATTTAAAACACATATTATATTATTTACGCCTGGGCCATGTTGTAAGATCTCTCATCATAAACTCTTGATGCATAGCGTCATGTGAACAATTCAGCTCAACATTTAAAATAATTTTGTATTTTTTTTGTAGGGTGGAAATCATATAAAATTTTTTCTTCTCCAAAAAAAAAAACTGAACTCTTAAGATTTAAAATTTCGTTCAAATATTTCAGTAACTCCGGAAATCTCTTTGTGCATTCTATTTGTGAGTTATTGCGTTTAGGCTTCTAGATTGGGATGAATGTTTATTGTGATATTAAATGATATTGTTTGGGCTTCAATGCAGGCTAATCTTCTCCTGTAGTCTAGGATTATTTGTAGTGGATTGTTAGAAACCTGTGCCTAGCATTATCTCTAGTTGTTTGTAAAAAAAAACCTGTGAATAAATGGCTTTCTTTCGTTAACTTACGCTATTTAGAGGCTCATCTAGCATAAATGGCTTCCTTTCGTTAACTTACGCTATTTAGAGGCTCATCTAGCATAAATGGCTTCCTTTCGTTAACTTACGCTATTTAGAAGCTCATCTAGCATAAATGGCTTCCTTTCGTTAACTTACGCTATTTAGAGGCTCATCTAGCATACATGGCTTCATTTCGTTAACCTACGCTATTTAGAGGCTCATCTAGCATAAATGGCTTCCTTTCGTTAACTTACGCTATTTAGAGGCTCATCTAGCATAAATGGCTTCCTTTCGTTAACTTACGCTATTTAGAGGGTCATCTAGCATAAATGGCTTCCTTTCGTTAACTTACGCTATTTAGAGGGTCATCTAGCATAAGTGGCTTCCTTTCGTTAACGCGCGCTGTTCAAACTCCAGAAGCTGTCACGAATGATCTAATTTTGTATTTTAAAAAGTCAAACACTAAAGTTTAAAACAAATACAATAACTAAAAATTCTCCTGATGTTTTATAGTTTATATTTTTAAATCATAGAGTTAGCGGCATGGGCGCAGGAAGTGGGGGATACAGAGGGAGATGGTCCCAGCGAGGGGGGGGGGGGATCTTTTTTTCTTTACATTGAGGGCCCGAATTTTCGGTAAAATACAGGTATTTTCGTGTAAAGGGTGCGGCATGAAATTGTGCCACCCTCCCCGGTCGGCACCGAGCTTAGCTACGCCACTGATTATTATGGGTTTTGAGTAATTCATTTATGGTTTCCCAAGAAGAGTATTGATTTCAATATGGGTGTATTTTATTTAAATTTTTGTTCGATAAGCAATAACAAATGTGTCTCCTAATTAAGGTTTAGTCGCCTTTTTTTAAAAAAAGGACATTTATTAAGGAAAGTCACTTCGAGTGACATTGAATGTGGAAAGTCACTTCGAGTGACATTGAATGTGGAAAGTCACTTCGAGTGACATTGAATCGGGGAACTCACTTCCAGGGAAATTGAATGGGGGAAGTAACTTCGAGTGACATTGAACGGGGGAAGTCACTTCGAGTATTGTCTCGGCATGGTGTGTGTAATATACTTCCTCTAAAACTGATCTCAATTGTTTAGTTTTTTTTGTTGAAATTTAGAATTATAAGTGTTAATGCTAAAATTATATTTTACGTAGCTTGTATATACTACACATCAACGCCTATGCCAATGAATTCGCGCAAATGTGTGAAACAGAATTCACACAAACATTTCCAGGAAATTATGATAAATAATTGTACTAACCATGTGACTTTCTGCGGTGTCTGTTGATCTTTTATCCAATTCTCTCACTTCATCCGCCTGCTTTTCAAAGTCCACGACGTTATCCTCGAAATCGTCCGGCGTTCTCTTGCCGATTCCGCCGGCAAAGTTGAAACGATCCAATCGCCTCTTTCCGATTCCCCCGGCAAACCCGAATTTGTCCAATCCTCGTTTTCCTATGCCGCCAGCGAACCCGAACCTGTCCAGCCGCCTTTTCCCGATTCCTCCAGTGAAGCTGAACGGATCCATCCTCCTCTTACCGATACCGCCCGTGAAGCTGAATCGGTCGAGCCTCCTCTTTCCAATTCCGCCGGAGAAACCGTACCGATCCATCCTCCGTTTCCCGATTCCTCCGGTGAAGCTGAAGCGGTCCATTTTTCTTTTTCCGATCCCCCCGCTGAAGCCGAAGGGATCGAGCTGACGTTTCTCCAAGTCTTCCGTCGCACCGTTCCAGTCGTCGAAGCCACCCGCGTCGCGCTTGCCGATGCCCCCGTAGAACCCGAATCGATCCAGTCGACGCTTGCCGATGCCGCCAAAGAACCCGTATCGGTCCATTCTTCGCTTTGCCAGCTCGTAATCGAAGCCGTAAGGGTCCACGAACTCCTCTTTCTCGTCGAGAGCACCCACGTTGTTGAAGGCACCTAAGTCGTTACTGGAGGGTTGCTGTTGGGGGTCGTCGGAGGCCAGAACCGCGACCCAGATGATGGCCAGGCTGCACACCAGCAAGGGATGTAAGACTGATCTGGACATAATTTGTTGGTTATTGCTTGACCTGTTGGGGGGGGGGGGGGAATAGAAGAACGAATATATTTTCTTAGAGATTAATTTAACGGGTTACCGTATGACGTCATTTGACGTTGCTGACCTTCACCCTCCCCAAAACCTAACCCCACTTGACCAGCTTTCAATGCTAGCTGAATTTGGTATGAAACTTACTGAACCTTTTAAGAACGCACACTTTTGGAGTCAGAATGTGATTTAAAAAGTGATCATGGTGGAAGCTGGAGCAAAACAGGTCGACGGTCATAGACAAGGAGCAACAGAAAAACAACAACAACAACAACAACAACATGTCTAATATTAGATAAAGTTACCTCTCAGCACTGTTTCAACATTTACTCTTTTTCTTTTTTTTTCTTTTTTTTTTTTTTTTTTTTTGCTTCATCGAAAACAAATTTTTTTTTTTTTTTTTTTTTTTTTTTTTTTTTTTTTTTTTTTGCTTCATCGAAAACAACTTTGACTATTGCATTTTTTACTTACAAATACTGCGTCAGACAAAAACAACTTTCAAACAGACATTCTATTTTAAAAAATCAATAGTAAAATGATACAAGACTCGGGGATTCTAGGGCATACAGTACACCTGCGTGTGTATTTAGAACCCATATTTGTAAATGGAACAGTCGTGGTACACTTATCACCCTAAATGGCACAGTCGTGGTACACTTATCACCCTAAATGGCACAGTCGTGGTACACTTATCATGACTCTAAATGGCACAGTTGTGGTACACATATCACCCTAAATGGCACAGTTGTGGTACACTTATCACCCTAAATGACACAGTCGTGGTACACTTATCACCCTAAATGGCAAAGTTGTGGTACACATATCACCCTAAATGGCACAGTCGTGGTACACTTATCACCCTAAATGGCACATTCGTGGTACACTTATCACCCTAAATGGCACAGTCGTGGTACACTTATCACCCTAAATGGCACATTCGTGGTACACTTATCACCCTAAATGGCACATTCGTGGTACACTTATCACCCTAAATGGCACAGTTGTGGTACACTTATCACCCTGAATGGCACATTCGTGGTACACTTATCACCCTAAATGGCACAGTTGTGGTACACTTATCACCCTAAATGACACAGTCGTGGTACACTTATCACCCTAAATGGCACAGTTGTGGTACACTTATCACCCTAAATGGCACAGTTGTGGTACACTTAGCAGCCCCCTCGACCTACTCTTAAGAATCAATGTAAGTCAAATTAGGGTTCAAATTAGAAGCTCTGTGGAAACAGTAATTGTTTGTGTTTTACCTGGAAGAGTAGGAGGATGGTCTAGACCTACACAATCGACGTCTAAATCCATCTGAACAAGGAACAGAAGAACTGGGGTATATCAGGTGACCCTGAATAAGAAGGTTCTCAAACACGTTGTTTGATAGGAGTCGTAAATATATTTGTTTACTAGCCACGATGATTCGGTGTTTATTGTCACAAAGTTTCGCTTTCAACCTTGACCCCAAATACGTCGAGGTAAAATATGAATCTAATGTTATGATGCCAACCAATCGCTACCACTACATACAACACCACCGCTAAATATCAATCATCACTGCCTTCACCCCCACAGGCACATCACATGCACACCAACACCACCACAATCAATAATTGATACCCACCCCCCCCACCCTCATCACAATCACCACTGCCTTCACCCCCACAGGCACATCACATGCACCAACACCACCACAATTAATAATTGATACCCACCCCCACACACCACCGCTAAATATCAATCATCACTGCCTTCACCCCCACAGGCACATCACATGCACACCAACACCACCACAATCAATAATTGATACCCACCCCCCCACCCTCATCACAATCACCACTGCCTTCACCCCCACAGGCACATCACATGCACCAACACCACCACAATTAATAATTGATACCCACCCCCACCCTCATCACAATCACCACCACCATTACCTCTACCAAAAATACACCAACCACCGTCAGTATCACCTCGACCGTCACCCCTACCACCAACACCATCATCAACATCACCACATCATACCAAGGAACACCATCATTACCACTTCATGCCATCCAACCCCCACCACCATCGCCACCACATAATACCCACCACCATCACATCAGACCCACAACCATCTCACCCCCACATCGTCATACCCCCACTCACCCTAACCACCACATCATACGAGCCACCCCATCACCTCCACTACCACATCATACTAAAAATGGCATGGACACAAGCGCTATAAAAAGTACTCAATAAATAAACAAGCCACCAACAACACCATCACCACTACCACTAATACAAAACCACCATTACCCCCAGCACAACACAACCACACCACCACACCCAACACCAGCACGTATCGCACCGATACATCAATATGAACTCCGCTGTCACAGGACTGTCACATGGTACTGTTTGCAAGAAGTCAATAGCAGTCCAATTACGAGTCAAGCCTCCGACATGAAAGTTGTTAATTACCACTCTTAACGCAGCCACGACGTATCCTGGCCTTCAGTGGCGACAACTTCTAGAAGGTTTCACTCCAGTATCGATGGGATATCGTCTTTGACATTTCACGTGCCGGTTCTCGAACATTTCATACGTGGAGTGTCATTGAAATAAATTATAACGGACTGCTGTTTGGCACTGTTCGCATCTTGTCAGGGGTTCTCCAAAAATCTAACAAAGACACCCTATTTTAATTTTTGAATCATCTTGTTTTTTTTTTCGCTCAGCGTGATGCCACCAGAATGTCAGACTAGCAGAAGCCAGAGACTGAACTTCTAAAACAGTGTATGGTGATGTCATTTGCAATAAAAAAAAATTAAAATTGTAAGCCTTGATCACGTGACAAAGATGTTACAGAATACAATTTTAAAATAAAATCCTTCGTCCCGTGACATAGATGTTACAGAATAAAATTTAACCAAACATAAAACTGGAGTCTGGAAATGATTATTTTTCCTTCTTTTTTAACGAATGTAAACCTAAAATAACTATGGCCTCTATGGATCGAAAATATGCTTATCAAGTAGAAACATCATGCGCCATAACGGGCAGTACTGGAACTCGCTCATCTTGAACGCGTACTTGCATATGTCCACAGTGCATAGCTCCTGCCATCACATTGCCATGAAAGTAAAAACTATTACACTCTGGAAGTTATTGTTGTGAAAGGGTCGCTCCAATTGGAGAAAAAGTATGGATAGCTGGGCGATGTTTTCGGAGACCTTTGTATCACGTATGAATACAATGTAGAAGTACAATGTTCTGATAGAGTTTTGTTATGAAAAAGACGGCCCGAAGTAAGTCGGTCTGGAAAGATACTCTGCCAACAGAAGGGGAAAGCCACTCTGTCAACAGAAGGGGAAAGCTACTCTGCCAACAGAAGGGGGAAGTTACTCTTTCAGCAGAAAGGAAAAGGTACTCTAGTCCACAGAAGGGGGTTTCTGAATCGACTAGTAAGTTAACGGGAGTTTCTTCGGAGACTCACGCATTCCTATTAAAATAAACTGGATCCTCGTACACCCTAGCCAGAAGTGTATAATACATCCTTCTGGCTCACACATCTTGCTCTGTCAAGCGTTGTCTAACCTGTAAAATATACCAATGGTCCTAGATGTTAATTGTTTACCCTTAACACTTGGTAGTGCTTATAAACCCAGAACCGTGGAGATAATTTATACAACATTTTGTACTGAAAAACCAGATCAGGACACAGATCCTAGGCTTCATGATATTGTAAAAAAAAAAGTAACATGGTCCATGTGGGTAAAAGAACCCCCAAAGTCCGGGCATCTGGAATTAGAATGTATTGATGATGCAACACATCCCTTACGTAACACGTACAACATGGCGGCCTTGCCCCATCTCGTATTTTAATGACGTTTGATGGTTGCGATGAAGTCGACACCATCATTTCAGGGAACACCAACAATAAAACACATTGCGATATTTCCCTGCTGACTTCTCGGTACATTTTTCATTTTCTGTGCGTATTGTGTCTATGTTTTTAAAGGTCTGTGCGTATTGTGTCTATGTTTTTAAAGGTCTGTGAGTATTGTGTTTATTTTTCAAAGGTCTGTGCGTATTGTGTTTATGTTTTTAAGGGTCTGTGCGTATTGTGTTTATGTTTTTAAAGGTCTGTGCGTTTTGTGTTTATGTTTTTAAAGGTCTGTGCGTATTGTGTTTATGTTTTTAAGGGTCTGTGCGTATTGTGTTTATGTTTTTAAAGGTCTGTTCGTTTTGTGTTTAAGTTTTTAAAGGTCTGTGCGTATTGTGTTTATGTTTTTAAAGGCCAATGCGTATTGTGTTTATGTTTTTAAAGGCCAATGCGTATTGTGTTTATGTTTTTAAGGGTCTGTGCGTATTGTGTTTATGTTTTTAAAGGTCTGTGCGTTATTGTGTTTATGTTTTTAAAGGTCTGTGCGTATTGTGTTTATGTTTTTAAAGGCCAATGCGTATTGTGTTTATGTTTTTAAAGGCCAATGCGTATTGTGTTTATGTTTTTAAAGGGTCTGTGCGTATTGTGTTTATGTTTTTAAAGGCCAATGCGTATTGTGTTTATGTTTTTAAAGGTCTGTGAGTATTGTGTTTATGTTTTTAAAGGTCTGTGCGTATTGTGTTTATGTTTTTAAAGGTATATGCGTATTGTGTTTATGTTTTTAAAGGTCTGTGCGTATTGTGTTTATGTTTTTAAAGGTCTGTGCGTATTGTGTTTATGTTTTTAAAGGTCTGTGCGTATTGTGTTTATGTTTTTTAAAGGTTTGTGCGTATTGTGTTTATGTTTTTAAAGGCCAATGCGTATTGTGTTTATGTTTTTAAAGGCCAATGCGTATTGTGTTTATGTTTTTAAAGGGTCTGTGCGTATTGTGTTTATGTTTTTAAAGGCCAATGCGTATTGTGTTTATGTTTTTAAAGGTCTGTGAGTATTGTGTTTATGTTTTTAAAGGTCTGTGCGTATTGTGTTTATGTTTTTAAAGGTC